CTTATTTATGTTATAAAACCTCGCACTTTTTTTAATGTTGTTTTTTAGATTATGATATTTCACTTTAAAGGTACACATATATATTGAAAAAATATGATGACCTAACTATTGGACACAAATTTTTTTAATGAACTAACCTAATCGTTAGACGGTCAATCCGTCATATTTTTATTTTATTTAATAGAAATGTATTCTTATGTTATGAAATGTCATACTTCGTTGTTCTATGTAGCATGATATTTAACTTAGTTCTGCCTCACAGTGGCCTTCTCTTACCAACACTATGAAATGATGTACTATTTATTTGTATTGTATTTAAAGTATAATATCTGAGTATGAAATTATATATATATTTGTTGGAAAAATATGACAACCTATCATACTAGTGATGTAATAATTCTTCATTTTGCAACTTGTTTTCAGGTTTGGAGCAACGATAAATACGAAAGTGTGGAACACAGAGTGAAAGTGAATTCAGAGAAAGAGAGGCTTTCCATACCCTTCTTCTTCAACCCGGCATTTTACACTATGGTCAAGCCACTAGCCGAGCTTTTGAACGATCAAAGCCCGGGTAAGTATAGGGCTTACAATTGGGGAAGGTTCTTTACGACTCGAAAGCTGAGTAACTTCAAGAAACTTGATGTTGAGAATATTCAGATACACCACTTCAAGAATTAGTAGTAAAGCTATCACCTTTTGGGGTTTGGTCCTGTAAAATCTTGCTTATGTTTTTGTTTATATGGTGGGAGCTAGGTGTTTGAGGCTATATGTGTTGTGAATAAATAAGTTCTATTTGGAAATAAGATTATGTTTGTACCATGTTGTGCTTTTGTCGATGATGAGTATTTTGTGAATAGATGAGGTTTGCATTGAGGATTTTGTTGTCTCTACATGTTTCTACATTTTGTCTCGTTTATCAATATTAAAATTTGAAAGTTCAAGTCTTAACTATCTAATAAGCTGAATTGTGCTCATAAGTGGTTGTTTGCTTTGTTTAACAATGTAATAAACTAAAGAGTATGTAAAAGTGATGACAATAATGATTTCATTGCTTAAAATGCAATAAATAGGGTACATGCAAAATTTCTAATTGGTAAAGATTTACTCGAAGAATTAATAATTTAGTTTTTAATGTAAATGCATGTATTATAACTCTAATTATGATGTGATCATAAAATAATAATTAGTAATTATAAGTATAAAGGTACGTGAAGAATATTTTATATATCTATATATATATATATGTAATGATTAATTTTTAATTTAAAAATTATAATAAAAAAATGCATGAAAAAAAATAAAGATGAATGAATAATGTTCTTTTATGTGGATGAGTAAATGAAGATATAGCTAATTGCATCTCCATCCTCCATGGTTGTAATTTCCTAAAGTAGAATAAGTAAACCAATTAATAAAAATTCATTTCAGATTTTTTTTTTTCTAAAAAAAGAAAACAATGGAAACAACACATAAAACAATTCAACTCAAAACTGAGCAATTGATAGCCCAAAATTCTACAAAAAGGAAAAAAAAGGGTCTGGCAAACCTAATCAAAGCTCATCACTTACAAAAATTTTGTGTAATTTACATAAACATAAACAAATAAAAAAAAAATGATAAATCAAACCTTATCTTGATTATCCGTCCAACTCGAACTAGTCATGAAATCCTTTCTCATACAGTAAAACAATTTTTTGCTAAAAATAAAAATAAAATAAAATAAAAAAATTAAGGAAAAATACCTACAAAAGGAACTGAAATTGGGTGATGATGATGATGATGATTTTCATTTGATTCCTCAATTACGCACCCAACTGCTTCAAAAAACACCATCACAAACTCTAAGGCCATTTTCAGCAGACCCAAGCAAATTTCCAGCCTCTGACTTACCATAATTTAAATTTATAAAAAAATATACTATAATAGTATGTTTTTCGTACTATTAACGAGAGCTTTCTGACCTAATTCTACACAAAAATGATGTATTTGTGGATTTGAGATGTGCATTTGAAGAGGGCTGAATTAATGAATATATGGCCTTTTGAACTTCCAAGGGACAATATAATATCTTTCTTCTCATAAATTTCACAAGAATAATACTCCGTACCTACCAAAAGGAAAATCATTGAGTTCTTTGGCATTCTCAAATTATTATTATGTCTAGCTTTGAATTTTGGAGTGTTACATTGTTGTTGTTATGAGAGAGCCTTATCCTTATCCTTGTTCAAGTGGATTTG